CTAATGCTGGGCAGACACAACTGTTCCCGTCTGCCCGCTGGGTCCACCCGGAGTCCCTTGCTGAGAAGGAAGGCGATTGGCTGCCTGCGCCAACATCAGCAAGCACACCAGTGCTGAGAGTTTACAGCACGAGGCTGGATGGTGACCTTGGCGGTGGCGGCAGCCATTTGTCACAAATTGCTTCCTCAGCGTGGGCCTCGGGCTGGCGTTCACAGTCCTGCGGCATTTCGCCCATGCCCCACGAGGCACAGCCTCGCACCACCACCTGGCAGGCAGGACGCGGGGCTCAAAGCTCGTGGGCACCTGCCCAAGCGCTGAGGCCACACCCCAGATCGACACCCGGGGCTTCCACCTCAAGCCTGTACACCGTGGCCCTGCCCTGCTGCGGGGCATGGGGCATGCATCCGTGCAAGCCGGCAAGCCGCGAGTGCCACAGAGTCCCCAAGAGCAGTCACCTGCTGACGATGAAGGCCATCGCAGCTGCTGTTCACAGGGCACCAGGTGGGGTCGGGCACAGCGCCGTCACTTTATGCACCGTGCAGTCACCAGGACAGACCCCCATGCCAGCTCACGCCCTCCAGCAAGGTCGGCTGCCGGTCTGAATGAGTGTGTTGGGCGCAACGGGCCCAACGATCAGCCAGGGCTGGAGACCCATGCGCTGCCAGCCTCCCGAGGTCCTGCCGGTCTCCCCAGCTGCTGCCAGACGTCCCAAAGTGCTGCCAGCTTTCCCATGTCTGGACTGGGCTTCTTGCCCGTGCCAGGTCTCTGTTTGGGCATATTTGCTTGATTTCAATTTGGCAAGCAGAGTGTGGCTTAGGCGATGTTTTTACGGAGCACCGTCTCAGGTGTGAGCAGTTCTTGTTAGTCTCGGAGGCCGCTCACCCACAAGTCAGTCTTCCTTGCCAGCTCGTCCTGGGTGGACAGTGCTTGCTGAAGCCAGAGCTTCCGCTAGGCCAGTGCGGAGGGGCCTCTCCTTGGGGTGGGGTGCCCAGCGTCAGGGGGTTCAGAACATGCCTGCCTGGCACTGCCTGTCTCCATCTTACTAATGGGCAAACCACAGCCCGGGAGGCCAGCTCTCCAGCGAGGCCTCAGGGACAGAGGTGAACATAAGGCCCACAGCTCCTGAGTAAAAATTCTCACTAATTCCATAGAAACCTGCCAGAAAAATGAGACTTTTTTTAAAAAAAGAGCTGTTATCTTACTATGTTGCCCAGGCTGGTCTCAAAACTTCTGGCCTCAAGCGACCCTCCTGCCTTGGCCTCCCAAAGTGCTGGGATTTTAGGCGTGAACCACCACACCTGGTCAGGACGTTTAAGAGGATGAAATGAGACAATGTACGATCAAGGCCAAAATGACACAGAAATGTAGCAGTTCAGAGGAGGGAAGGTTAGGTGACCCAGGGAGAGTCCACGGGAAAGCTGGAACTTGAGCTGGGCCTGGGTTGTGTACCAGACACTGCCTGGTGCTAGACAGAGAGTCGACGGAGTCCCTTTCCTCAAGGTCCTTCTACACTGGGAGGAGGGACGGACATCTGAACACATACTGAGAAGACGGTATTGGACATGACAGTGGCAGTGTCCCCAGGAGTGGTTCCGCTCTTGGCTGGACGGGAGGACAGTGAGGGATGGCTTGGAGGAAGAAGGTCTTTCAGCTGACCAGGGCAAGGAAAGGCTTTCCGGACAGGACGGTACAAAGGCAAGGAAGCCCGAGTCCCTGAGGCACGCGGGGCTGCATGCATCTGGTGTTCTGCAGTGTGAAGTGTGAGACCTGAGAAGCAGGACGCAACACTGCACATGTGGCGGGGACCCGGGTCCCCAAGGGCTGAAGGTCACAGGGTCCTGACCGGAGAACACACTACTGGAGGTTTAAGCAGAGAAAAGGCACAGTCAAGCTGGAGTGTGGTGAGCCGGGTATGGTGAGCTGGGTGTGGTGGTGTGTGCCTGCCGTCCCAGCTACTCGGGAGGCTGAGGCAGGAGGATTGCTTGAGCCCAGGAGGTAGAGGCTGCCGTGAGCTATGGTCACACCACTGCACTCAGCCTGGGTGACAGAGTGAGACCCTGTCTCTAAGAAAACATTTAAAACCTTTTTTAAAGAAGAGGTCTTTGATGATGGTGGCCTAGAAATGGGAAG